GTGCTTCACCCCATTGTTGCAGTGTCACTGTCAGGTCATCACTTCGTGGGTCTTCCTCTCCTCCTCTGACTTTCTACATTTGCGAGCATAATGGCCTTTTCTGGGGGCTGGCACCAGCTGGTAACATGCTAAATGTGTGAGATGCAGTGGTTACCATCCTTATCTCTAAGAAGGACCCTGTCAGAACAACTGTGAGCTATCATCTCACTCTATCAGCAGTAGCAAAGTTCAACATGACAGCAAACAGCAAATGCTAGAGAGATTGAAACTTTTATTCTCTGCTGGTGGGAATGTAAAATGGCACAACCACCATGGAAAGTGGTCTGGTGCTTTCTCAATAAGTTTGAAATAGAAATACCATTTGGCCAAGCAATTCCACTACTGGGAATCTGCCCTAACAAAACCAGAGCTGCCACCCAGACAGATACATGAACACCTATGTTTGTTGTGGTGTTATTCAAGATAACAGAGAGATGGAATTAGCCCAGTTGTCCATCAACAGACTCCTAGATCACTCTCCAGCAGGTTTTCAAAGGCAGTAAATCACATGGGAGGAGATTGTCCATCTTTCTCCCACGGAGCCACTAGTGAATTCCGACTGTAGCCTGTGAGATGGCAGCACACCTCTTTACCACAGGCCATCAGAGCTCCCTATAGGAAAATACAGAGAATAAAATTCTTGTCCACATGCCATTGCTCAGTTTTATTGAGTCATAACCTTTATCAAATTTGTTTTATATTTTTGTAAACAAAAACATTATAGGCGTAGAGCACCAAGCAGGCTTTTCTCTGAAGCTGTTTCTGTCTCTTCCTTTCAGAGGTAACCACTAATCCATGGTTAGTATTTATCATAGCCATTTATGGTTATTGTATTTTTGACATAGATGTATATGTGTAACAAGATAGAACACCCACTGTGTGTTTGACAGCTGTGTCTTAGAATTCATTCTCTCTCAATACTATTTTTTTGGATAACAGTGCAGCACTGGAAAACACCCCCAGAATGTCTTCAGTACTGTATTTTTGAGGTGTGCCCATGTAGATGCATTTAACTTGAGTTCTTTATTTTTATATGTATTATTTCATTATTAGAATAGATTAGAATCTGCCTGTTTTTCTCTTAATATTTTACTTGGTTCCAATATTTTGCTATTTTCAGTGTTAACTCCAGTAACTGTCTTGTCCGTATGAATACGTGACAGCTAAATGATGGATATGCTCATCATAGCCACAGTACTCTGACATTATTCATAGTGTTTGTGAAGGCCTGGTATTTAAGAAGTAAGTGGCTAGTCCAACGTCTTAACCCAGTAGCTCTGATGAGATCTGTTCACTGTGGGTGACTTTACTGGAATTTGACATACCAGTGATGTAGCTTCCAGCATAACAGCAACATACAAATGCTTCTTTGAAGTGCCGTGTTATTTCCACTTGCTTCATGTGCATCTGACAGTTGAACAGTGGCAAAGCAGACTACAGAAGAATCCGTGCCTTTGAATTGTGGATTGGCAGAGTGTTGAATATCATATAGACTGCCAAAATAACCAAACATATCTGTCTTGGAGAAAGTGCGAGCCAGGTGCTGGTGAGAGACATTGATGGTACAACTTCATCTCCTATGCTTTGGACATGTTCTCAGGGGAGGTCAGTTCTTGGAAAAAGACATCATGCTTTGGGAAAGGTGGAAAGAGGGCCATTGAACCCTCTGTGAGATGGATTGACACAGTGACTGTAGCAATGGGCTCGAGCATGACGGAGAGCCTGGGGATGGCACAGAGTGCCTGCCCATCTGTTGTTCATAGGGTCACTTTGACCTATAGTCATTTCAGCAGCACCTAACAACAACTGCTGTACCTTGTTGTTAAGTCTTTATATTGTTCGACCTAAAATTTTACTGATCTTAAAGGTGTCAAATGGTTCTTTGTTTTAATTTTTATTTCTTTGATTATTAAAGATGTCATTATTTTTCATATGTTTATTGTGTATTCTGAATCCTCTTTGCTTAGCTACTGGTTTATCAATCTTTCATCTGTTTTTCTCTTGGGTTGATAGTTCCTCAAAGAATAGCTGATTTCCCCAGCATTATTTGTTGTGTGGTCTGTCCTGTCCTGCACCCAAATTAGGTCCAGCGCACACCCTGTGCTGTGTAGCTACTATCCCCATGCTTCTGTTTCCGAACTCCTCTCTACCTCTTCAGTTTCATTTCTGATCTTTGTATCAATACCATTGCTTTTTTTTTTTTTTATAAAAACAATTTCAGAGTATTTATTGTGATCTGGAAATAACATTAGAGCAGTCAAACAGTATGAACACATCTTTTAGAACAATAACCAAAGAAAATAGACACATAAAACAGAAGGGGTAAAAATCCAGAAACTATTGCCCTCAACAGCTTTTCACTTCAGTGATCATTTTTAGTTGCATACACTTTATAGAAGAGTAATATTATCTCCTTTTAACATGATCCAACCCATTTGTTTTCTTGACTCTGTCTTAGAATGAATCTCTTCTGCATCATGTAATACAAGGTTCATATATTCATCATAACCTGATAGAAGCCACTATCACATACTCACTCATAGAGCAACACATGAATCCAAGATCTGTTTTGCAAATAACTGAAGATGAGGTTGACGGACTCATCACCTTCTGCACCTTCTGGCCGTGATCACAGTATGCCATAGTGGGAGCTCTCAAAGGCCAGACCAGCCCCCCACTGGCTCTGAAAGCAACTAGAGTGCTTTTTTTAAAGTCTTTAGCTATTTTATAACATCAATGTTTTCTTAATTCCTCAAAAGTGTCAAAAATTTTTTTTAAAAAGTGTCAAAAGGCTATCAATATACAGTTTATCCATACTATTTTTAGGATTTGTTTTTCAGGTTCTATGAAAAACCCTCTTGGAATTTTGTTTATTGTGTCAAATTAACTTCTTGTTGTTAAGTTTCATTGAGTCGTAGACAACTCACAGAGACTCTATGAATGCATGTCCTGAACACTTCACACTTTCATTTCTCCAAGTTCATAGAGTTTCAGGAGGCAAGCTGTTTCAGAAGTGGATGCCACTCCTGCTTCCAAGCTTGTTTTGATTTGAGAGCTCCATCAAAAACTTTCCACCATGGGTAACCATTATCACATTTGACACATCATTGTCACAGTGTTTACCATCACAGCAACCATGAGTTACCTCTGTACAGCAAATTGACAGACCAGTGCTATACCACTTAGAACAATGTTTGATTATAAAAACAATTAAAACCACACCTGAGGGCCCAGATGCCTTTTTTAAATACAAGGCCAAATCCAATCAGCTCACACCCAATTACAAGCCAACTGTCCCACAGGAGCCTCAGCCAAAACAGAAAACACACCTTTTTAGAATCCAGCTGCTCCACTCAACTTTGTGAACTTTAAAGCAGCCTCCCAAATTAACTTAGGAGAATTTAATATTCTTATGATATTTAGTCTATACACGGTTCTTAGGAAGGGGTGATGCACACAGATATGTGGGAGCATGTACACACACACATATATGGCCTTTGTTAGAACAAATTTATAAACAAAAGATAAGATTCAGTGGAAAAAAAAAACAACAGAATTCCCCCAGCATGCGCATCCTCGAGCTCTGTTACCCCACATGGACTTGTGCTCTGGTAGACAAATCAATGAAGACTGAACTGCATGGCAGACAGGCACTGTGGTGTACTTGGCATATGAGAGGGTCAACTTACCAGGAAGGGGGCACCTCCTGCTCACTGCCATCAGCCTCTCTTTCTGCTAAGCTCACTCGGGCCTGCTGGGCCGCTTCTTGAGAGCTACCAAAGAGGAGAAGGAGGAGAGGCTCCGGGGCTTCTCTCCTGTTATTTTCTTCATAATGGTCTTGCGCATCTTTCGTTTATGTGATTGCCAGATTCTTCACAATTTCTTTTACTGTCTCAGAGCATCTTCTCTTAATTGGTGATGTTGGAACGCTGGAATACATGTTACTGAATCGCACTGAAGAGCGTGATGTCTGTCCTCACAAGTTGGATTATCGTGGATGTGTGTGCCTGTGTGGAGGGGTGGTGTGCATGTGTATCACGTCAAGTTTGAACATCTTGGGTTTTGAGGGCTTCATAGGATGGAGTTAGAAGATATTCTTTCTTCAGCATTGTCACATCTGGTGGTGTAATGCACTGGGGACGTGTTGCCAACATGAAGTCTGAGCTGAGCAGTTTGAATCCACCAGTGACTCCTCAGAAGAAAAATGGGCTGTCTCCTCCCAGGTGACTTACAGCCTCAGAAACACAACAGAGGGTCAGCTAGGAGTTCTTTCCAACTCCTCAGTAGTGAGTGGTAGGAACAGCATCACCTGTTGATTAGTGATAAATATATACTTTTAAAGATCTGAAAGAAAGGAATCTAGTCCTGGAGCCTGTTGACTGGAAGGAAGTCCTCTGCTGTATGGGGGGTGGAAGGCTTCACTTCCCTCGAGAGCTGCTAACCTGCGTTAGCTTTAACATAGGCACTTCTGGCACAGCTTTCATATATTCTTTTGCCTTGTCTTGCCAAGGGGATTTTGCTATCGTACAACAACTTGGTGTTTAAGGTTTTTTGTTCTTATTAGTTGCCATTGAGTCAATTCCAACTGATGAGCGCCTTGTGAGTAGACCTGCTTGCTCTGTCGGGTTTTCAGTGGACCACCTGGCCTGCTTCCAGGGTATTGTTGATGAACTCAGCCAGATAAGGCAAAAGTTCAGAGCTGTCGGTTTGTTGTGAATAGTTATGCAGTGTTTGAATTTTTTTATCATTGAAACTATGTGGTAATCTAGTGTAGGAAAAAAACCCTGAAAAGATGTTTACTGACTAGAGGAGCACCAGTGTCCCACGTGTTCTCCCAGCTCTCCCTGTTCTGAATAGCCAGGAATCCTGGCAGTTACCACAGTGCATTTGTCTTTGTTAAATACTCCCCATACATGTCCTGAACCATTTCAGTTACATTCTTTTAAATATGTTGTAGGTGTGGAATATCAAACAGATGATCAAGTTGACACAGGAACACATAGAGGCCCTGTTGGACAAGTTTGGTGGGGAGCACAACCCACCATCAATATACCTGGAGGTAAGCTCTTGTGTCCCACCTGGGGTGATTGGGGGTGGTGGTGAACATATTAAAGCATCTGTGATGACAGCCGTCATTAGCTAGGTTTCTTGGGGTGAGATTGGAAGTTAAAATGGGAAGAGAATTTGCTTTGCTATCATTATACATCTCAGTATTAGTTTGCTTCATATGTTAAAATAAGCATGTATTAATTTTGTAATTTGGAAAATGTCACATAAAACAAATGGAGAAGACCTAGATAAATGTTAGAATCTTATTCTGATTTTGGGGTGTTTGTTGTTGTTGTTTTTAAAAAAGCCATAAAAAAAAAAGAATTCTTTGGAGTTAACATATTAAAAAATGGAATGGACTTTTTGTAAAACCTTTTTTTATCCAGAATAATGTCGTCCTCCCTCGACTGGTTTCTGCCTCCTTTTTAGATTGCGTTTTTCCATCTGTGACCCCTGGCACTGAGTGGGTTCCCATGCCAGCCGCCCTGCAGAGTGATCGTGCACTGCCACAGCTTTCTCCAGCTAATGGCTTTGAACTGTAAACTGTTTGTTGGCAACCGAGTGTTTTACCCAGTGTGCCACCAGGGCCCCCACAGTCTTGCTTCATTTCACTGTTTGCCCCTGCGTACCTCAAGGGTTGTATCAGGTTGTAAGCCTGTCAGGTTAGCTGTTGCGGATCCTGTGAGGTATATGTGGTTGTGGTCATGGAGAACCTCTGTTGGCACACATTTCCTCGTGTCAGTGGAGGGCTGTTGGGGGATCCAGGCGTCGGGCCGCACCAAGCCTCTTATCACCGCTTTTTGCTGTAGGAGGTGGTGCTGGTGTCATTGTGGGTCCCCTGGAGGACCCAACCTGCAACAGAGAAGCCCACATGCCATTTTCCAGGCTGCAGAGACACAGATGGACAGACTTGTATGTTTCTAATGAGTAGTGATGTCGCTCTTCAGGGGCAGGCCAAACCTTCAGTCCTGGCAGCTGGCAGGTCCTGGGCTAGTGTGCCTTTAAGTCAAATTGAATGAACATAGGTCAGGGCAGGTGCATCTCATTCTTGCCTCATTTTAGAGCAATAGAAGGCATGAAGCCTTTTCCATTATTTAAAAGTTGAACATACAGCAAGTAAAGGAGATTGTGAGCAAAGTAAAGGAGTTTGTGAGTAGGATGGGTTTACATCTAGATAAAGGACAAGTTCAAGTTGTCCATAATTCAGACCTTTGTAACCTGGGACTGCTGGGTTTTATAAGAACCTATGTTTGTTTTTCTAAAGTAAACGTGCAAGTTTAAAATATTAACAGCTAAGAAACAGTTGTCTTCTCCTTTCACTGGTTCACTTCTGATCACCTTACCAGTTAGGAGCACTGCAGGGACTGGAGTTCACAATTGTAAGAACTGGTTAGAGTACTTGATCACATCCCATGCTGCCTCCTTTTCCTCAGAGGTGTCAGGAGGGCAAGCACAGGAGTCAGAGGGAGATGACTGCTTCTCAGGAAAAAGATCTTCAGTTCTCAGAATTAGACAGCCATTTTTCTGAGATGTTCTCAGATATGAGATGTTGTCATTAGCAATTCATTGCCGTGCAGACACACCCCCGCCCCTCCCCCCCAGGCTTCTTTCTGCCCTAAAGGCTAAAAGCACCAGCCTGCTCAGAACACCAGCAACAACAAACTGTGGAGCTGCTTCTGTACCTGGCACAGTGTTGAATGCCTTTATCTGTTATTCCTTGCAGTTACCTCTGTGCTAGTTACTAGGAATTTTTATTATCCCCATTTTACAGATGAAAAAACAGAGCTTAAGTAACTTCCCAGTGATTGCTCAGCTAGTAGGGAAATGCATACACTTGTCTCAAAAGTCTACTTGTGATCACTGCTCTGTGATACTGTTATTCTGCTGCAGCTTCTCTCATCCAGGCTAAGTCCTTCTCAACACTCTGATTTGTGGCCTTTTATTAGATATATTCAGTCAGTTCTTCATTTGAAATTGGGCATCCAGTATCAAACAAATGGTGTTGGCAAACTTGGACAATTATCTGCAGAAAACTTAGGCAAGACTTAACACCTCACACCATACACAAAAACCAACTCAAAGTGGATCTGGGACGTAGGGGTAAAACCAAGGACTAAAGCCTTCATCAGAGAAAAGTTAGGAGCAATTGCACAAATCCACAGCATGAACAGATTTCCAAGCATAATGAAAACCCTACAATGAGGAGAGAACAAAATAGATGAATGGGACCTTCTAAAAATTAAATCCCTGTGCACATCAAAACTCTTCTCCAACAGGGTGGAAAAGAAACCCACAGACTGGGAAAAAATATTTGGCAATGACATCTGATAAGGGACTTAAATCTAAAATTTGTACAATACTCTAGCACCTTAAAAAAAAAAGGTAAACAATCGAGTCATATAATGGGAACAAGATATGAATGAATAGACACTTCACCAAAGAAGAAATTCAGATGGCAAACACGTGAAGGAATGTTCAAAATCCCTAGCTATGAGAGGGATGCAAATCCAAACAGCTAGGAGCTAGCATCTCACTCCAGCAGCAGTAGCAAAGTTCACCAGGGCAGCTAACAAATGCTGGTGATGTGGTGGAGAGACTGAAACGTTTACAGTCTATTTTTTAAACAGAGACACTCGCCACTCAGGATCCAGAACTGTTGGCGACTGAGCCGTGTCCTGGTCGCTGGCCCTGCCCCAGGGCAGTGACCGGATTTCTGCTGGCCAGAGCCGGAGGCCCTGGAGGTGGGCGTCGCTGAGACGGGCTGTGCCTTATGCTGTGGGGACACATGGTGAGGCAGCTTGGGTGGTCACAGGAGGGTCATTGCAGAGCTGGCCCCGCACTGACAGCACCCACCACATGGACAGAGAGCAGGAGGTGGGCCCGTGGGGGTGCTGGCCGGGGGGCATAGCTGGCAGCCAGTGGGGCACTCACCCCTGGCTCCTGCTGTACGCCGCCCAGGCTGTTGGAGGAGCTGAGTTGGCATCTGCCTTGCGGGGCAGGTAAAGAGTTCTAAGCGGCTCAGGTAGGGGCATTTGGGGGCTACAAGGAGAGTAGGATGAAAGAGGGAGGGGTCCCAGCCACCGAGATAGCCACCATGGGGAGGTGGGAGGTGGGAGGTGGGGAGCTGGGGGTGTCCCTTAGACCTGCCTCACGCCACGATAGGTCTCAGTGGCCAGGGGGGAGCACACGCTTGGTGACCCCTGGGCCAAAGCCCCAGACAATGAAGGTAGCTAATATATTTTTATTAGAATGTTCTGATTATAAAAATAAAACTTGTTTCCTTAAAGAAAAAAAAAAGAAACGTTTATTCACTACTGGTGGGAATTTTAAATGGTACAACCACTATGGAAAACGGTATGGCATTTTCTCAAAAGTTGGAAATACAAACACCTTTTGACCAAGCAATTCCACTATTGTCAGAATACCCTAAAGAAACCAGAGCCGTGACTCAAACAGAAGTGTACACACCTATGTTTATTGCTGTGTTATTTACAATAGCAAAGAGATGGAAGCAAACCAAGTACCCATCAACAAATGAATGGATAGAAAAATTATGGTATGTTCACACAATGGAATATTATGCAGAATTGAAAAACAGTAAACTCTTCAAACCCTACACAACATAGGTGAGCCTGGAAGACATTATACTGAGTGAAATATCTCAGTCAAAGGAAAAATACTGCATAACACAGCTGTAATAAAATAGGACAGACATGGGAGGTAGGGAGGAAACTAGGAAAAGAGTGGATAGATAAGAAACACTGTATTGGAACAGATGAGGGGAAGGACTGTTTGAAAGGAATATATGATTAGGCATTAAACATAAGACAGCAATGCAGAACCAGAGGTGCATTGCAGAGTAGAATGAGGAAGGGAAGAAAGGGGGAAAGGTGCAACAATGAATGAAAACCAGCCTTCTGTTAACTTTTGTTAAAGTCACAATTAAAAAAAAATCAAACTACTTATTCAGAGTATGACAGCACACAGCCGACAGGTCGTAGGCTACACACCGGCACATGGTGAAGGAGGAGCTTCTCTGGAAGGCAGTGTAGCATAGTGGTTAAGGTCAGTGCACAGTGTCACACGTTCTTTATTTGCATCCCAGCTCTGCTTTGGTCCCTAACCTTTCTGTAGTTCGGCATTTAAGGATGGAACTGAAAAATATGAAATAGTTCTGTTCTTGTAGTTAGTAAGTGTTCTGTAAGTCACCAGTCATTCAACAGAAACTTGAGTGCCGTGACAGCTGCGCTAGTCTAGGCCCTGCAGATCTAATACTAAGCAAAACAGGCAGAAAAATACCTGTTTTCAGCAGTTCATGTTTTCTGGGGGAACTGACAGCCATTGAACATGTAACAAGTTAAAACCATGCACTCCCCACCACTGTATGCTGTGTGAAGGTTCCTTTCTAGGGGAATGGGAGCAGCCCACCAGAAACGACTGATAGACACTGATGTCTGCAGCCCTGCTGCCCCCTCAGGTCCCTGCTGACCGACTGCCCTGGACCCGCAGTTCTATGGGTTTTCAAGGGTCCTTCAGTCTTAGGTGTGAATGGACAGCTAGGAATAGCAGAGCTCTGCAGAAACCTTTTAACTAGAAAGACACAAGCAGAAATAGTCAAGGAACTCGGAAACAGTACCGAGAACAGAAGAAGACTTGAAAATCACTGTAATTAACTCTGAAGATAAAGGAAGATATAGCACCCATTCTTGCCTCATGGCTGCACTGAAAAACAGAAGGGACTAGAGAACAAGAAGGAGCCCTTACCACAGTGATATCCCATCTCACTCCAGTCAGCAAAGAATAGATGTTGGAGAGGATGTGGCAAGAAAGAAACTCTTAGGCACTGTTGGTGGGATTATAAAATGGTGCAACCATTTTGGAAGGCAGTTTGGCACTTCCTCAAAAGATTAACATAGAAATTCCATATGACCCAGCTAGTCTACTACTTGGAATAGACGCTGAGAATATGAGAACTTAGGCACAAACTGAGATTCGTACACCAGTGTTTAT